GAATCTGATTGTGAATATTTCACCTATAAAAAAATTGCATAAGATAAACATGAATATGAGGTAGGAAATATATTTAAAAATATATGAATAACATAATTTCATCATTCAAAATGTTCCTATCATGAAAGTTATTTAGGTATAAAAGTAAAAAATTACCTTTCCAACTATGACATGAAAATCATTCATCTTCCTGTCTACTTCCTGGACAAAAGTTGCTGAAAAATACTTGTGAACAACAAGGGTTTTGAATGCTTTCATTAGCTCATGAGGGTAGAAACTGTGGGGTCACTATAAATAGTTGGAGAGTATAATTATGAGGTAGTCTAATCAGTCAGCAGTTTCGGCTGTGAAGGGCTTCAAATCCTTGATCAACATCAGCTTCATCAGATATCTACAAACAAATTATGGTTGTACGATAGTTTCAGGAATGAAAATTTACTGGTTAGTTGAGAAAAATAGCCGAAAAAACAATGAATATTCATGTTTACCTCTGACCAACCTCTGGGTTTTCCTGCAATAACTTCTGGAAATATGAACTCAGCATATTGAAGCACTGTTCAATTTAGCTCCGAGACTCCCTCAAACACCTGACACATAAAACTACCAGAATAATAGGGTGATTCGGGAAAAATACAATTCAATTACAAGAGATGTATAATCTTTGTTTGCCAACCAGACGCCATCTTGTCAGCTAAAATGTCACGTGGTTTGGATTGCCTAATTTGTTCGTGGTTATGTCTGATTGTCAGTGCTTGTCATAGTGGTACTCTGATATACAAAAAACGTCAAAATCAGCAGTGTCAAGTACATTTAGGAACTCTACCAATAATAGGAGGGAGCAAGGTTTTGTTTGAAGACTCTGTAATTACCTGTAGATGAAGGACATTTCACTGAATTCCGAATTAAATCAGATCTCTCTATAACCTCTTCATTTGTGATCATCTATTTATATTTGACAGATATAATCTTCTTCAGTCATATTTTTTCTAAACCTTCGAGTATGGCCAGAGATGTGATGAGCATTCAGGATAGTCTTCAGAAGAAAACTATATATTACAAAAACAACTCCCTGTCAGTCTCCGTAATTTCAATTGACCATAATGCATGGAATATAATAAGATTGATATTGATATCTGAACTTGACCCCAGATCGGCTTTTCTGAAGAGCTTATTGAAACCCAATACTGTAGGATAATGGACATGACATTATATTGTTTCAGTTATATCAAACGTCTAACCGTAATGAGCCTTTGGTGTAGGTGTGTTCGAACAAACCCATTACCTTCATAAATATCGGTATAAATATATGAGGTTTTCAACAGTTTTTTGGGATGTCCATAGTACGACATAAATACTCGAAGATATACAGGGTGTTTCTTGAGTATGTGTGGAGAATTAAGGAGCATGTTGCTGGCGTCAAAATGAGGAGGAAAGTTCGTATAAATATATGTCCGGAAGTTATTCGTTTCTGAGATACAGAGTGTCAAAGTTTAATTCTTATATTTGATTTTTATCAATAAATTTTAAAATAATCGTGATATTGAAATGAAATTTGGTATCCAGGGGTATTTTCCAATGACAATATAAAATTTTCTGTTGGTTTTTCTTTTTCGTGGGGGTGGCGCCACCTACATGTCTTTAGAGTCTTTTGAAAAGTCATAACTTTTTTGTGCGTACCTGTACAACGTTTCATAGTAGGAAAATACATTTCTAGACCACTTTCGTGTGAAAAATATATTCTTGGTAGAGGTCGCTGCGAGCAACTGTTTTCGAGTTATTTGGATTCGAAATAATCGATGCATTTGAATTATTTCCATGTGGCTCGTAATAAGTCGCCTCTAGCATAGATTAACGACTCTAATCTATGCCTCTAGTGAATATCAGGAATGATGCGCCAGTGTGCACATTATGTTTCTTCTTTTATTCAATATTCTCCTACTTTCAACATTGGAATGTAGGCAAAATATGATTCTCACTTCTCTTTCCCTACTTTTTTGGACTCTTTCCAATTTGAAAAAAAAAAATAACAATCAAGTGGGTACTTGTCATGTGATTTCAATCCGTTCTTGTGACAGTGAAGTTTGTTGTCTTCTGTACTTGTGATCCAGAAGCTTTTTCAACTAATTGCTTTAGTATCAATTTGGTCTTAATTACTGTTATCATTATAAGTATTATATAGTAATAACACCCGATTCCTATTTTTTAATGAGATGAAAGAAAAATAATTTCCCTTTTACTCACCAAATCAATTTTGAATTCAAACTTCTTGTCATTCCAAATTACGTGCATTGATTATCTCAAATCCATATAACTAGCAAACAGTTGCTCGCAGCGACCTGTACCAGGAATATGTTTTACACACAAAAGTGTTCTAGAAATCTATTTCTCTACTATAAAACGTTATACAGGTACGCCCAAGAAAGTTATGACTTTTCAAGACTCAAAAGACGTGTAGGTAGCGCCACCTCCTTGAAAGAGACAAACTAACATACAATTTGATATTTTCATTGAAAAATAATTCTAGATACCAAATTTCATTCCAATATCACATTCATTTTGAAATTTATCAACGAAAAAACAAAATGAGAATTCAACTTTGACACATTTGTATCTCAGAAACGAATGACTTTCGAATTATGTTCATACGAATTTTTCTCCTCGTTCAGACGTCAGCAACATGCTCCTGAATTTTCTACACGTACTCAAGAAACACCCTGTATAACTATTTCTCAGGAAACGAATATTTCAATGTAAGATTCATAATGGTTCCCAAGTGCGAATGAATGATCAACAGTAGTTTCACAAGTGGTGGTAATTTTTGGATGGTTTTAACTATAGATGCACGATTCTTTGGTGCTATAGAAATCTTACGAGTTGACGGAGTCCAAGGATTATTACCTCTCAACAGGATGGTTCATTTCCTATCCTTCAATATACGGTTCATATACACTATGATGCAAATGTATGGATAAATTAATTTCAAAATAAGACGACTTTAGAAAAAAGACCAAAAACTAGAGTTTAGAACTTCTTCAATTGATGTATTTTTTCAACTAGACAACTCTTCGTTGTTCCATTCTCAGTAGCAGACCTCTGCAAAATTCATTTTATCAAATGATAATCTATTTTGATTTCAATCTTCTTATGCAAAATTTTGACTGTTGAATAGACGATCAGTAGTCCTTTCAAACGAGGTGTCACATGACCCCTGTTTGTATTTAAAAGAATCGTCCATGACGTCATTACTCCAACACAGGTGACGTAACATCTCCCATATGGATATCATGGAATGAGGCTTCAAAAATCAAAACTCACGCGTTTTTGAATTTTTTTCAAATGTTGCCCATTTCTGAAATGATGAATTTATTCCATTCATTTGCATCATACTGTATATGACGTCATGTAGTTCACCACACAATCGCTCATCGTTACACGGCCCGAATGGAGTGTTTTATGTTTTGTGGTTGACAGAAATACCAGTTTTGTGTTACCTGTCATGTACAATTTTTTCACTTTTGAAGGATAGAATTGAATCTTAGTAGTTCATCACATATTATATACTCAACTCACCCTTATGTTATTTTTTGAATTTCAGGGGGAAAGGTGGTGGACGTTGTTGTACAATTTCCTTTTGTAAAAATACTAGTACAAAAACGGAGGGCATTGTTTACCATGCCTTTCCAACAGACAAAATAATGATAGTGGCAAATGGATTCGAATGTGTGGAAAAACTGATACATTTTCTTTATTAAGAGTAAAGAAATATGTTCAATTGTTCAATCCATTTCACACTAGATAATTTTGAGAGAGTTTTGCGAAATGAGCTCTTGGGTAATTGAAAATGTACTGACTCTCTTCACCTACTATTATTCAGTTTCAAAATAAAATAAAAAATGTCGAAAAAACCATTGAGGTTCTTAGGCATTCAATAAAAAATGTGGAAGAAAATACAAGGAAATCATTTCAGCAACATACATTTTCCTAATATTGAAGATTTTAGGTTTATTGCTTATTCTCTTAATGATAATCTTATGAAATTATTGATATGTTCATTTTGTCATTCTGATGGTTGATATTTTAACAGTTGACAATGTTTTTATATCATAAAGTAATTTGAAAGTTTAGGACACTGATTAGAATTCATTGTATGACACAATATATGAAGTTTCTGTGGGAAATTGAAGTATTTCAGTGATTTACATTCTGGATAAGGAATACAATCCTACCGAAATCAGATGAAGAGTCCCATGTCCTTCTCCAGCCATTTCTGAAACGACTTTCAAAATCCTTTTTTACTTACTGTAGAAATCAATCAATTTTACCTTCTTTTTTAAATAAAAGTAATAAATCCTCATCATTCAACGGTCGCAAAACCAAAATTTGACGTCATGTCGTTCACCCTTCTCATTGGTTATCGCCGGATGAAATATCTTGTTGTTGAGAATTAATAATCTTTGGACGGACTCCACGAGTGGGATTTTCTCAATAGCAACAGAGAATAGTGCTTATCTGATTGAAATTATTAAAAAAAGTTATCACCAAGAATGTAATTCGGCGTGATTATTTTTGTAGCTGTTTCTGTATGCATTTCCTAACTTTTTATAGTCACACACTTTGGTTTTGCGTCATTTTTGTTCGATCAGTCTTGTTCGTCGAACAAAACAGCCTATCAACAACGTAGTCCTTTATGCCCCCTTATGTATTCATGAATAAATAAATGTGAAGAAATTGTCGCTGTGATTTGCTACTAACAAATAATTATCAGCTTGATATCAAATGATTGGCTTGAATTACGATGCGATATTGGTTGTAACAACGAAAACGTCACATTACAACATGTGAAAAAAATATTCAATATAATGTGGAATTAGTAGTAAGAACTACGTGTATTCTTCAAAATGATGATCAACTTCTCATTTTACCATTTTATTTACACCACTAGGTAATACATAAATAAATAAATTATCGGACTAAGGAACGGAACGATAATTTATGGTGAATCAAGCTCTTTCCGATACTGTGATTTTGAATCCTTCTTCTCTCTTCAATATGATGTCTCCTTGTAACTTGAAATCGGTTTCATTGGTCTTCGAATGAATCACAAATTTACGTAACACACCAGCTAATAACACCTTCAGTTTCAACATGGCGTATTTGCGACCTGAAACAAAATTAGTGGCATTTTCAATGACAATTTTGACATTAGCGATGTAGGGGACGATTTGGAGGGGAGGTTGATATTGAATTTTCTTTTCAGGTTTTGAAGCTTATAAATTCATGTGGGAATACACTTCCTCTGGCAAAAAATTCCAAAGCTTTGCTGTTCAACAGAAAAACGAGTTCTGGTAAAGTGTTGTTCGACATATTTCAAGGGTGAAAACGAAAAAATGCGCTGACTGCTCTTGGCGAGTACGTCTGACTAGTGGTAGTATATAGTGATGAAATGAGATTCCTGAAGAACATTTCTCGTGGAAGTATCTACTTATACACATTCTTACTTTTGCCACTAGATGGCTCTGAAGGCTGGTTCGTACTTTCATCCCTTACGAGCTTTGCATTATAGGGTATCCATACAGATTGCTGACAGAATCGCTCCAAGCCATAGCGCGGCTAATATATTTATCCGATTTTGAAAATCAGTGAAGTGAATGAAATTCGTGATGAAATTGGTCATTAAATGATATGAGTAGGATTTGATCATAATTTTTTGAAATTCAAACTGTGTCAGCTCAGAGGGTCAACTTTTTCAATTCCAATACCTAGAATCATATTATGTTTTCTTATTATCATTTCTGGATTATTTTTGTGTACAAAGAAATTTTACAGGTTCCCTTTTGGACAAAATTAGTTGAAATTGAAAAAAAAAATGCTCAGTTGACAAGTAATGGATATTTTCACAAAATTTTAAACAAGCCTATTGATTGCTCTTCCTAATAATGATATTTTTGAACGCAGACATTTTGGGGCAGCTTATTATGATAAATAAAACAGAGTGTTACGTGATATTATGTGGGACAGACTTCAAGAGGTGATTGGACATCACAAAAAAATGAGAAGATTTCACATAAACATATGTCGTAGAAGAATTCTTCTACGAGATACAAGGTGTTGAAATTGAAAATAAAAAATAATTCTCATTGAATTGCTATAGATAACCCCTTAACTATTTTTTTTTATATTCTGGTAAATCATTAATGAGAAATTTCATTCGAAAATATGAAAGAGGATGCAACGTTTCAGAGAGTAATAGGAACGATTTCAAATCAAATGAGAATTTGCACAATATCAATACTCGTAGATGCTCGTAGGAAAGTAGAAAATTCATACCCTTGCTGCCAGGTATAAAATAACACAGAATTCTCCGATTTATAAAGGAACCAGAATATTTAATCATCTACCACATGATATCAAAACATCTGATATCAAACAATTAAAATTTGGTTTGAAATCGTTTCTGTTTTTTTTACTACATTGATGAATTTTATTCAGTAAGAACTGTCTAGCATAATGGATAGCTTTCATTTCACTGTTTCTATATGACTTATTACTTTGTAATGTATTCTTCTAGACTGACTATTTCTATACAAAATGTACTTTTGTCGTTCGAAGGAAAATAAACTGAAACAAAATATATAAATATATAAAAGCACCAACTGTTGAAACTCGTACGCTGTTTTTGGGAATAGCGGAATAATTAAACTCAACTCCAATATTCGATGTGTACCTGTCGGATAGTACATTAAAGGCATCTGTTCCGATAACTCAATAACCATGATAGATATTATTTTGGAATCGCGGCACTGAGCCATTCACATAACAGACTAAATTTTGCCACCACGATCAGCCATACAGGGTGTACATAAGGAAATTCTATAAATATTTCCAACTTTAACGCCCTGTATCTCGCAAACGAAGCCTTTCATGACCTTTTTCACGAGACCATTTTTCATTTTCTTGAGACGCCCCATCACATATTATGGGACACTTGGTGTATATTTATATGTAAAAACGAGGAAAGGATATCCCAAAAAAATTATAGGAATGAATATATCACCTATAGACAGTAGTTAGATCTATATTTCGACCCAAAATATGACTGTGGTTTTTCTGATTTCCATAATTTTTGATTGTGTACTCACCTACACAACTCCTAGGACCAGCACTGAACGGTATGAAGGCGTAATAAGGTCTCTGTTGACACCTTTCCGGAAGGAAGTTATCAGGATCGAATTTCAGTGGATTATCGTAATGTTTGGGGTTTCTGTGGATCAGATATTGGGTCACCACCACACTTGTTCCCGCTGGTATCGTGTAATCTCCAGAAACTGCAAAACGTAATATCATCCATCAATGAGAGCTCACATAATTTATTGTCCATCACATCGCGCTACTGCACGGAAAAAAAGGAATTGTTGAATCAAGCAAAATTTAATTGACTGAAGCAAATTAAAGTGTCATAAATGCACGACAAAATATAATCTTGAAATGAGTAAATCTACATCTTGTTTCAGAGCGAATTTGGAGTTTGAATTAAGTGAGTATGTCTTGCATGAACTCTGGATCTTATTCAATCAAGTACATCCATGAATTGTTTATGAAGAGACTATTGAATTGGCTCCAACAATCATTTTGTTTGATTCAAAATAACAAGATATTGAATCAATGAAATGATTCAATGATTCAAATATTCAATTGATTCAATGAAATATGTGGTTGATTCAAAGAAATATCTGGTTGATTCAATAAATTATTTGGTTGATTCAATGAAATATTGGGTTAATTCAATGAAATATTTCGTTGATTCAATGAAATATTCCGTTGATTCAAGAGAAACTGTATTTCCAATCTACAAATTGTTTTGTTGAACCATACTCAATATTAATTCGGGAGTTTTCTGAAAATTCACATCAATAGATCGAACTAAACTAGGAAACTAGTCGACTTCTACCATAGATCTCCAGTCTTTACTTCTCTTCAGCTGATGCAAAACTATTTCGGATTGCTAATCATCCTATGTTTGATATATCCAGCTGATATTTCAAGCACGAAGAATCAGGCTTCACGTATTTTTTTTATCTCTTGGAACGCACGAAAGGAAATCCCTATGATGTTCAAAGAACATCTTGCGTTCCTAGGGAGGATAGGGACAGGAGGTAGGTATTGGAATTTTTTTTAAACTTCTGGAGATTATATGTTGTTGGGAATACTTCCTCTGGCAATGAATTCTAGAGCCTAGCCGTTCTATGGATGGAGGAGTTGTGATAAAGTGCTGTTCGACATCTTTCGAGGTTGACAACGAAAGGATGTGCTGACTGGGCTTGTCTAGTTCGTCTCACTGGTATTGATGCTAGTGAAGGAATGATTTCCGAAAAACATTTCCCGTGGAAGTATCGATAGAAAAGGAAAAGGTCGCCGACCTTTCTACGGTGATCCAACACTGATAAAAAGGATTCCTTGGATTGAAGGAATTTGACTTTACCTCAAGGGAGCCAAGCATTTGAATAGGGCGGAATGCATGGACATTTTGACCCAATATTCCAAAAACTTTGAGGCAAGCGCCTAAGTTTCTTTAGCATGAAATTATATAAATTCGAGGCAAGAAACTTTGGTTTTGCCCTAATAACTAATGCTTTTGGCTTAAAATCGTAGTTTTCCCAACTTATGGGGAATGTTGAGGTAATTGCCATGATTTCTTTAGCCCAATGATATATGAGTTTATAGCAAAATACCCTGAACTTTTCATAATGAACAATGATTTTTGGTCAAAATCATTAAGATATCATTTCAAAGTTATGAGATTTAAGATGAAATATATGGTATTATTGTATTGAAATTTAGGGCTTCGCTGTAAATACAGCAAATGTTTGATACAATATCTTATGGTCTTGGAACAAAATGTATATGATCTTGATGCAAATTCTCTGGAGATTTCTTGAGAGGATACTCCTGTAAAATGTTGAAATAATAATTAGAATTTCAATTGATTTCTATAAAAATTTTGAGGATCATGTTATTATGAATCCTTAACAAAACCTCATCATTGGTTTGTTGATATTAGATTTAGTTCTGATGTTCTGACGAAAAAACGTTTTGCATTGGTTGAAATATACTTGAAAATTAAAATATCCCATCAACTTGTATTAGCTTCTTATTTATCCTTGGGCGAAGAATTGTGGAAATCCTGAAAAAACAACCATTGATAAAAAACTCATTTATTTTATAAAATAACACATGAAACATTTTATATGATGATGAAATACCTATCTACTGAAAAAAGTATAGGTGGGTACTTACCTTGAAATGTTTGCATCATATGGCTCAAACGCCACGCATCTAGAAGTTTTTCAAACTCCACTGAATCGCTCATGATCCACAGCACAACGCAACACGACAGATATGGCCGCTAAAATGCATTGTCAACGGGACGGTACTCGGCACGATGCAGAAGAAGAAGGATGATGGAAAGATGGGGTCGACCCATGCATTGCGCATGACTCAAACGGAGTCGGTATGTTTTCGGTTAACCTCGGGTGGACTCGATCTCATCAACGGTCTCAACCGAACGATTTCAGATCTTGTATCAAAGTCTTGTGATCTTGAGGTAGATGCAAACCAAGCAGGACTAGAGACAAGGTCGATGATGTTCTCTCAAAAGCGTTTACAGCCAAAAGATTCAAAACCTTATTACAAAAACAGCAATAATCTGCAGATGAGAGCAATGTATTTGAAAGGAAGAAATTGTCTTTGTCAGGAGAGAAAAAAATCTAAAAGCATCATTCTTTTGTCACCAATCGGGTATTTTTATCAGTGAATGATGTCAAAGAGTGAGTGAGTGTGGCGTCACCCACCAGGCGAATGGCTCTCCTCTGGATGGAATCTAAGAGCATCAGCGTATGTTTTGGTGCTGAACCCCATATTTGGGAACAGTATTCTAGAACAGGCCGTATCTGTAGATCATGAGAAGCTGTTGAGGTGTGAAGTAGCTTTTCGCACGGAACAAGAATCCGAGTTTTTGTGAAGCAGTTTTTGCGATGGATCTGACATGATTGTCCCATAAAAGAGCGTTGCTGATGGAAAAACCGAGCATAGATATGGTGGGCTTGGTGGGGATGGTGGTGCCAGACATTATACAATATCGGGCATACTGAGTTCCGCCTTTCTAGAGAAAATACAGGCTTGAGTTTTGGTGGCGTTGAATTCAACTAGGTTGTTGGTTCCCCAGGCTGTGATTTCAGCAAGGTGTTCATTGACAGCATTGACCTGCCTGCGCCGTGAGTTCTTAGTTTCCTGGGTAGAAATGGGAATTCTGGAAGAGAACGCAGTATGGAGGGTACTATCATCGGCAAAGCTGTGGATGGGGCAAGTTGTTACTCCCAACAGATCATTGATATAAAGAAGGAATAGTGTTGGTGCCAAAATTTAATGAATTCGAGGCAGGCATAGACGAGACGAAATGATCGCCATCTAGAGGTGAAAATGTAACTTGATGTAGAATGAACAAAATATCTCATCGATAGTACATATTTCGTTACTCTATTCAAGCAAATGATCCGTTCGAAACGAGTTCATCGCTACATCGGAATAAGGAAACTTGCATGTTGTTTCAAAGATATATTCTCATAAAATGATTATTATTTCATCAAATCACCAGACTGTTCATGGTTGAATTTACATTGACATCATTTTGGATCGACATGATTTGTTTTTGAGAAAACCATATGTTTTGTTGATGGAATTGATATCATACTGTTGATTCAATTAGGCTACATTCCTGATTCAAACAAGCTGCTTGCATGAAATAATCATGTATCCGGTTGATTCAACAAGAAATTGCTCAGTCCAACAAAAATAATTCGAGCATAAATAATTTCTTGATGCAACAAATCCTTTTTGTCCGTGTGGAACGTGAGGTCAGAGTTGACAGAATTGATAAATGGACCGCGTTTTGCATCACTTGACCAGGCGCCATTTAGTGAATTTCCCTTTAGAAAAGAGACAGGCACCTTGGATTCACCAGTAATAAAACAAATTGATCTTTAGAAGAAGTCCACGGTAACTCAAATTGGAGTGGTGTATTTCATAGATGAAGAAACTTAAAGTCATCTCCATAGAGGTTGGTAAATGTTTTGGGCTCATATCCATCATCAGCCGAATACAAGAAAAATGAAGAACAATCGTCAAAAAAAATTGATTCACAGTATACCTTGTGTATATTATACAGGTGAAACCAAGAGACCTCTTTCAGTAAGGACGAAGGAACTTAAGTACACTATAAAGAAAAGACACATCGATAAATCGAAACTAGCTGAACATATCCTTACTGAAGACGGACAACATATGGCACAGTGGTATAATATTTAAATCATTGGAAGAGAAGATAACAACCAGAAGAGAAAAATCAAGGAATCTGCTTGCATTCTTCTGAACGGAGACAATAGCATTGCTTCTTGTTCAGTTGATATAGACAGAACATGGTATCCACTACTGAAATCTGAACATGAAAATGGTTTATTTATTAATGAAAACATTCATTTGATTGCCAACGTCACCAATTGTCAATGAAAACTGAAAAGCTTCAAGACAGATACGACTTTGCTATTGAAATAATCATTTCTCATTTCGAAAACGGGAGCAGAATCGGTTCCGAAACGTCCAAAGATAAGTGAAAATCTGATATTTTCTCGATATACCTTAATTTTTCTTCTACAAACTTTTTTTCAATACAAATTATCACTGACAAGCTAGTGAATTTTTCTCTTAGGCTCTCTGATAGGAAAATTCTTGAAACGCTGTGACATTTTGGGGCAAATCATCTGATTTGTCCTTACTACACGTATATTGAAATATTATACATATTTTTATTTTATAAAAACGAGAAGAGAAAATCCCAAAAAATATGGAATGATGGACAAGAATTCAGTTCCAGAAAAACCAACAATGACATGGGATATAAATAGAATGAATACTTACATACATGGAAATGCAGAAGTTGAGGAATTTGATAATTTTGACAATAAAATGACACAAGACACAGAAGTATGCACCATGATCAATAGAAAACGATGGTTTTGATGATGTAAGAAGGAATAAATCGAAAACTTTTTGTTTTTTATAAAAACATTACGAAATTGGTCGGGTTATTAATTCTATAGGGACCCACGTGCCCTTAAATTGCCTAAGGTGGCAATCACATATTTAAAAAATCAAACAAAGTATGATGGACAATAAAGGTGGTGAGTGACTCGAGTATTGTGAAAAAAATAATGATTGTTGTATCAACAAAATGAACGTGGAGGTCAAAAATAAAGGCCGATTTCAAAATCGTCTAACGAAAATCAGTACTTCTATGCCTCAGTTAATTTTCTTTCCCCAATAGGAACGAATGATAATAATTAATGTGCGTAATATTTTAAGCAGAAAGTCCAAAAGCCGGTCCATGAAAAAATATAATGGTTTTTGGTAAAGTTATGCTTGAACTAAATGACCTCATGAAACGAATGTTGTTTGACCATCTTATGCAGAAGTATATTGAAAGAGGGTTCAGGTGTGAAAATTAATATATCGTTTTCCTGAAAATGGAAAAAAATAAACAGGGTTCACGAAATATTTTTTTCCGATGACGGGAAAAAAGTTTGGCATTTCATCTCTGTTGGCGCAGGTTATTAAATGTCACTTTTCATAAATCACTTTATTCCCGTGGTGAAAAAGTGAGTACCTTTTTCCCAGATATATATTTCACATATATATACACTGTTGATGGCTTTTGTTGTGCTATAGTTCCGAAAAATGAGTCAATAATACCGTCTCCGAGAAAGAACTGCAAGTCCTTTTATCTTCCATTCGACTACGCGGTTACGTATATTACTGAACAACCACGAAATTCGCAATATTTCGAAATCGAATCATAGAATTAGACTGGCAGAAGTGACATCAGATATTTGATTATTTCAAAAGAATGATTAAGATGCCTACAACGCAGGTGTCCCTACTGTTAAAAACTTAAAATTTCACGTCGATAATTTTCAGATTTCAAAATAATGTAATATCTTCTCAATATTGATTCATCCTGTCTTCTGTAACAGATGAAAATTGTGTATTACACACGGGAAAAATAGTAGATTTCAGCTCCAGGTTGTGCTGTGAGCTAAAATCTAATATTTTTCCCGTGTATAATAAATATCTATGCATGACCTCGACGTTTATTTTGTTGATACAACAATAAAGGTGGTGAGTGACTCGAGTATTATGACAAAAAATGATGAGAAATCGGAGTGTAACCCAGAGATAAAAAGAAATGCTGAACCTACCCAATTTTACATCTTCATTGACCTTTCTGGCGATCATCGGTACTGGTGGGTACAATCTCAAACTCTCCATCATCACACGCTCTAAATATTTCATTTGCAGGGTATCATTGAAGGTGATTGGTCTCTCCATGTTGTCTTGGAAGATCTCTTTGAGTTCTTCGAATACCCTCTTCTGGATGTCTTCGTGGATACCAAGCAAGCAGAGAATGAAGCTAGATGCTGCTGCTGTCGTGTCATGACCCTGAAAATATTCACTTGTAATACCACTAGAGGTCAAATTATTTCCGGAAATTCTTTAGAGCCAATGGATATTTTGAAATTTATTCCGAGTCGAAGACGATGAATAATTTTCGAAATATTCATGAGCGAGAAAATTTCTCGTGTGGTATTCGGCAAGAAGATTTCACACCAGATTGTGTTGTCAAAAAAAATTTCGATTTCATACGCTGGTGTGTACCCGCGAGAAAAAATGACACTAAAATACATGAGTTGCTATGGTAATTTGTCATAAAAACCCAATTTAACTGTATAAAATTCACTGGTGTGGAATATTCATGCACAAATACTATCGTGGAATAATCAAATAAATGATTTTTTTCAATTATGTAAATGTAAATAATCTCACCTCGAACATAATTGTATCCACTTCCTGTTTGATTTCTTCGTCACTAATCTGAATGCCCTTAGAGTGGCTGGCTTCAATCATGAAATCTAAGAAAGCTAACCTCTTCTTCTCTCCTGGAAATAATTTTTTTCATGCAAACATATGACTGAATTTTTTGGAGTTTGGTGTTCTGAATGAATATACCAAAGATGTACAACGTAAAGAATACTTCGCAAGATTGTTATAATGAAAAGACAGGAGTATTTCGAGATCCTAATTATTATGATAGAATCAAATTTATGCAGAGACATCGTATACCAGGTGAAAAGGATGGTGAACGAATCAGTATAACTGATTTCTGCTCACATCGAATATCTATTCGTGAAATCTATTTGCCTTACCGACATCATTTTCGTCATTTTCATCAAGATCATCTCTGAGGTAGTTGGTCATGATGTTCTGAGTTTCTTCAAAAAGTCCATGTCTCTCATCGAATTTTCCTGAATCAACGACGTTTTGATATTGATTCGATTCACCCTTTGATTTTCTCTCGAAATAATTCTGCTTCTTACGCTTGATCACCTGAAGAAAGGAAAATTAACACAAAAATATGTCTAGATGAATCAGATATGATTTTTCAATCATAGTATTTGATGAAATGACGAATAGGAAATGGTTCCTATATTGTTCAACGGGCACGGAATGATAGTCATTTCCCACGAGAATGAAGTTTGCAGCATGAGCCGTGGGCAAATGATGTACCAGCAAAATTGTTCATTTCTTCGACTTGATCAGATTCCTCTGATTGTCCCTGAAGTGATGCTCATCTTTCAGGAACAGCTGTCATTGCTTGACATTTTTCATTTCATAGGGGATGAGATTTAGTGAAATAATAACACAATGGAGTCATTGTGATATCAGATACGGAGATAAAATTGATGGCATGAAAAGTTTTTCATTGATTTATCGAACACAGTGAGAAAGAGAGCAATTATGTGTTATAGTTGAATAAAAAAATGTTTATGCCCATGATGATAGCTATACTTAGCTATATTTGATCATTTCTAAAATCAGTCCAGAAAAAGATCACTCACCCTTCGGGTCAATGTATGAATCGTGTTAAGTAGGGAACCCTGTTGGAAACTCATCTTTGTAAACCTGAATAACGGTTCAAACCTCAGCCAAATCTTGTAATGCCTCTGATGAAGGATATTACACATGCTGCAAAGAAAGGAGCATATTATTTTAAGCGAACCTGAAAACAAAATCTTAGTACACTGCTTAAGAAACTGGAACTTGAGAGTAAGTATAGTGATTATTATTATCGTAAACCGCACCACACTGGCATATTCGATAATTCAGTTCAGAAAATTTATTCGAGCTCGTAAAAATTGATTAATATCATCAAAGACTACCATTCAACTTTCCTGGGCCTCAAACACAATAATATCTTTCGTTCATTGTGAATTATCATAAGACATTGATTTTTTCCACCCACCTCATCACTGCCATTGCGTAATCGAATCCAGTATTGTCTTCACTTGTTTTGGTGACTCCCATAGCGGTTTCTGGAAATGGATAATAAGGCAATCTATAGGTACTGGTTTTTGTATTTTATCCCAATCAGAGTTATATTGAGGTGTTATAGAAATCCATGGTTTCTCAATCTATAGGTAGGAAGAAGCTCTAAGTAATCTCCTTATGTATGGGTCTTCGAAATTAGTTGCATAATAGAGAATGCAATCTGAGATTCAATACCGAATAAAAAATTGGTGTTACGCAATGGATATTCTACTAGCTATATCGTAGAAATTGAAAGAAGAGGTACACCAGAAATATCGCGTGAGATTTTCGAATCCGTATTAGTTTTGTAACATCAATGTTTCGATATTGAACAACTCTCAAAATGAATAATCTCTCGCATAGTGAGTTTATTAATGTCAGGAAGATGGAGTGATATAGTTCATAATATAATGATTCAGTATTTGCTGGATGAAATCCCCTCATGAAAATTTTTTGGAACTTTAGCTCCTAGGAACTAAAATGGATGTACTATAGGTCCTCAAGAAAAATAAAAGATTGTTTTATTAGGATCAAAAGTGGCACTTTGATTGACAAGCGAATTTTGAATTTGGGAGGCCGAGCGTAAGCAAAATTTGCGAGTCGAACAAAGTCACTTTTGATCCGAATGGTATCTTAAAAATGTCACTATTTCTGTTTCTTCTAGTATTTGCGGAAAGCGTAGTCAGAGCATCAATTTCAGGAGAATCAATGTAGCCACTGATAATTTTTTGAAGGAATTTTCCCATCTTCTCTGTATCAACGTATCCATGTTCAAAATATCTAATATTTGTGGATAGCTATATTCATCCCTATTGAATCCCATGTGATAAGCACGCAACTTCTTAAAAATTTATTTTGACAACCCTCTAAAAGATCAGAATCAACTTTGTAAAATGGTGACCAGATCAAAAAATTATATTCAAGAATAGACCTCACCTGTGCACAATAAATAATTTTAACAGCATTAACAGATAGTTCTTTAGCAGAACGAAGGGAAAAGCCTAGCATTCTACAAGCACGAGATGATGTTTCTATTAGGTGATGTAGGCCAGTCATTGGGGATTTTTACCTGGAAAAAAGTCCGGAAGTTTTGAAACTTTGTAGGATTATAGTTTTGGGTATCCAGAACTAAAAGTCACAAAATGCACATTTCGGGACATGCCGCCGGCGCCGCCATCTTGCCAAGATGGCGCTCAAAAATGGTTTTTTGAATATATCTCCAAAACGGTGCGTTTTCAGAAAAAATATGAGGACATAAAAATTTAAGATGAAGAAATTTTTTACAAGAAATGTTCCTAGTATATTTTTGCTGAAGTGAGCCATTTAGGCCCAAGAGCTGATTGAATGACATCATATTTATAATTTCAATAAACTGCCCCTAACTATCTCCAAATATGCGTATAAATTTATCTTTTATGATGAAACGGGCTATCTAATTGGTTTCTCGATATATTTATAGCTTGCTGACAGAGGATATTTCCTATAAAATATGTTCCTAGAATATTCTCGCTAAAGTACCCTCGTTAAGGCACAAGTGCCCTTACCAAATTACAAATGTTGCGTAAGTTTTCTGTAGTGGCGAGTTTCGGAAATAATATGTGTATTAGGGGTCCCCAAATCTGATATTTAACGACTTTAAAAATATTTATCACGAAACGGTGGATATCCATTATTCAATTAATCGATGAATTTATCAATTGATCTATGTTAATAATTTATGATCAATCAATTTCGATTTTAAATGCTGTACTTGTTTCCACACCACCCAAGAGGCTAAGTACACGGCGCGTTTTTTAACGTGGTTTCCCCTGTAGTCCTAATCCACTCAGGTACTGAAATTATTTTTGGCAACGGCCAGACGGACCTGGCTCGTTGATTACGATATATTCAACGGGGAAACTGGTTACCTCAGCTCCAGAATCGATGTTAATTTCCTTCAACTCGTCGGATTCTTCTTCTGCAGTCGATAAAGAATCATCATGCAGCGAATGGAAGTCTTCTTCATCGGATTCGTCCAGTGTCACTTGGCTGATATTTTCACAAGTTTTCCCGTTACAGACACCGCAAATCATCGAACATCGCAATCCTGCTTTCCTGCATCCGCAGGCTCTACCACAAGCCGCCTTGCACTTACAAGATAAAAAAGCAAGTAGTGCTTTGGAAGCAGGATCTTTCGAAGTAGTTATTGGAGTGAGGCCAGTTTGTGTTTTCTTCCAACCCCATTATTCAACTACTTTCGGACAACCACGCCATAGTTGAACCTGATAGTACGTTCTCAACGAATGCTGTCGTGCAGCTGCGCTTGTCGGTGGTAAAGATGCCAAATTGAATTTACTTTTTGTTACCGACTTCACGAAACACTGGTATCGATATTCATCAAGATTGGTGTAATTTGTGTCTTTGAATCCATAGAGTGCAAGGAAAAATTTCTCACCGGCAAAGGCAACTTGATCAGGGGTGGCATGTTCATTTTTAAAAAATTTAATATGATCTTGTAACTCTTTATGTTTTTTTACTGTTGTTAAAAACTTCATTTTTCCTTGGTTAAATACGGTCTCGCAATTTTTTCATGTCCGTTTTTCTCGTAAAATCACTGATTGGCAAATTGTGTTCGTTAGGAAAGGTAATTTAGTTGATGAAAAAGTTCTTGTGTTTTTACCGTTTATAAAAATATCTCATCTGAAAAATATATTTTGTGTATTTACTCATATTGGGATGGAGTGGTGAAGACAAGAAAGCAAAATTTCAAATTTCTATGAATTTATGGGCGGTTTTACAGTACGAGAAGGTACTTATATCTACGGATACATAGTATAGGTACGAAATTTACTCATAATCATCCTGCACCCACATATTTCTGGAGCAAAGTCGCCAGATTCGTCGATAATGCAATTTTTATATCGCCCAAATAATCGCAAGTCACAAATGCAAAATTTTTGTCGCATAATTGATCCAAAAATCGTCCAATATAACGAGGAACAAACTGAATAGCCCGTTTTATTATAAAATATGAATTTATACGCATATATGGAGATAGTTAGGGGCAGTTTATAGAAATTAACAGAATATGTTGTCATTCAATCAGCTCTTGAGCCTAAACGGCTCTCTTTAGCAGAAATATGCTTATAACATTTCTTGTAGATAATTTTTTCATCTTGAATTTTTATTTCTTCATATTTTTTCTAAAAACGCACCGTTTTGGAGATATCTTCAAAAAACCGTTTTTGAGCGCCATCTTGGCAAGATGGCGGCGCCGGCGGCATGTCCCGGAATGTGCATTTTGTGAATTTTAGTTCTGGACACCCAAAACTATAATCCTACAAAGTTTCAAGACTTCCGGACTTTTTTCCAGGTAAGCCTTATTTTGGATCCCCAATGACTGAACTAATGTTTGAAGGTCATTTTCGAGTCGACTATAAATACTATGATTGTATTGGTTACTGATAGATTAGTGTCATTAACTCTTTAAATATGTTCAATAGCATCATGGCCTCGTGAAAATGTTATCTTGTGACATTTATTCAAATTCAGTTTCAATAAATGAAGGTATTATAACAATCTGTCAAGTGAGTCACATTGGTGGTTACTTCACATATCAATTTAACTTCATTGTTTCGGTTGCAGAAAATTTTCATTCGGATCAAAAGTGACTTTGTTTGACTCGCAATTTTTGCTTTCGCTTGGCTTTGCTAGACGCTACGCCTCGCAAATGCAAAATTCGCTTCGCGTCTTTTTTTTTAGTGGTACACCCGGTACAACATTAGATGTAAATCATGATTCATCGATTGAAAGAGGTTTGGTTTGGACGGATTTCATCCCTCAGTGGTCTTTCTCACCATAGGAAAAAACTCTCACGTTCTTTCGACGTCTTCTTTCGTAGCCAGTAAAGTATCGTGCTGATAAAAAATAAACTCACCTAGTAAGGTATCTACAGTGGCACCACTCATGTAATCGTGCACATCAAACTCCTTCCCCTTTTCTTTCCTGAAAGCTTCTACTAGCTGATTGGCGTTTTTATTGAACACGGGCATGAAAGACTTGAGAATAGACGTGTGGAATGTGGGGGCAATCATTTTTCTGTGCGAACGCCATTTCTCACCTTCAATAAAAACAAAACGGAAAATTGGAATAAGCAGCGAATTAAATTTCTTGGTGCAGAATCATTTATTTATTTATTTATTCTGCAGAAACAAACGTCAGGCAGATCCTAATAACATGTTTCTAGAAAGTTCAAAATATAAGAGGCGATTGAATTGAATATGGCAATACCAATAACACTCAAAACAACAATAATAATACCAATAATAATAACAATGACAATGAATACCTAACTGAAAAATAAGAAATTCACACCAGACATCATGATTTCTCATCAAGAATTTATAATATTTTTCAAATTGGCTTTGAATTAAGGAATTGAAGTATCAAAAACACCATACGTTATGGTTGCCGAATATGTACCTATTGTATAATCTGCATAATCTATTGACTGGGGTATCGTATTTATTTATGTAGAAGGATATTTGTCGTGGTCAGACTCCTGGTGGCGGTACGTGGAGGGAAATTTCACTGATTAGGAACAGACTATCTTTTTTTTATGTTCTGGTTCCACGAAAAGGGATATCCTGTAATGTTCAGAGAACATCGTGAGAACCAAGGGAAATAAGGTAGGAATTGGTGTTCTTCTCGAATTCCTGGAGGTTATATACCTCAGGGAACACCTCCCTTGGCAATGTGTTTCAAAGCCTCGCTGTTCGTTGGATGAACGAGTCTCTGGAAAGAAATGTTCTGCAGGTCTCGTAAGTGACCACGAAGGGGTGCGAAGCCTCAACTCGACTCGTTAATCTCACGGGGACTGCCAAGGAAGGAACAATTGTTGCTATTCCAGAAGAGCACGATGCATGGAAATATCTATAAAATAAAGCCAGATCGGCGTACGGTGTTCCAGAGAAGTGAGTGAGTTTGTGAGTGAGGCATCACTCACAAGACGAATCACCCTTTTTTGGACAGAATTCAACAGTTTCAGGGTATATTTGGGTGCTGCGGCACTCCAAATATGGGAACATTTTGAACAGTATTCCAAGACAGGTCGGATTTGTGCCTTATAGATCATGAGCAGATGACTAAAAGTGAAATAGCTCCTGGCCCGAAACAAAAAACAAGTTTTTGGGATGCACTTTAAGCAATTGATCTCACGTGATTATCCAAAGAAAGGTTATTGCTGATAGTAATACCAAGCATCGAAATGGATATCTTCAAAGGTATGGTTACTCCTGACAAGCTTATGTTGGGCACAGTGAGATCGGCTTTTCTAGAGGAAAGGAATGCTTTTGTTTTGTTCGCATTGAGATCAACCAAGTTATTGGATCCCCATTCGAGAATTGTTGCCAAGTCCATATTTATGTTGTCAACATTTCTTCTACGATCGTTTCTGATTTGCCTGGCTGGTATTGGAGCCCTAGAAGAGAACGCGGTATCCGCGAAGCTGTGTACTGGACATGAAGTTGCTTCCAACAAATCGTTAATATAGAGTAGAAATAGTGTTGGTGCTAGAATTGATCCTTGTGGAACACCAGCATTCATGATAAGAGAGTCAGATGAAACTCCGTCGACCACTACATGGAGAGACCTGTTCGAGAGGAAACTAGCTAGCAGAGAACATAGCTGGGGAGGCAAGCCATAAGATGGAAGCTTGGAGATATCAAGTGCCACGGCTAAGGTTTCACCATATTTTTCAACAGATTGCTGCCATATATGTGAGACGTAAGCGAGCAGGTCACCAGTTGATCTCTGATGACGAAAGTCATATTGCCTATCGTTAATATTAACAGAATGTTCCAGGTATTTCATGAGCTCGATGTTGATAGCTTTCTCTATGATCTTTGAAATGATAGATAGCAGTGCGATCGGTCTGTAGTTGCTAGGTAGGGTCTTTTTGCCATTCTCAGAAACTGGTTCTACTCTTGCAATTCCCCAGTTGGACGGGAATATCCCCAATTTGTAAGGGTAGTTGAACAACTTGCAGAGAACAGGTGTTAGTTCGGTAGCAGATTTCTTAAGAACAATCGGTGGGATTCCGTCAGAGCCAGAAGCTTTGATGGTGTTGAGACCCAATAAAATCTTCCTTATAGTAAGTATAGTAGTATACCTGTCTATTCAATAATTCAGCAAGTAAGATTAAGCTTTTGATGATTCTACTACTTTCAAGAGTTTCTATGCCGAATTCTTCTCTAATAGGAGACAGTTTATAGTTTCCGTAATAGAGAAATATTAGGAATCTATTTTGGATTGTTTCTATCAGTTTTTTCATTTTTTGTTTTCCTGGATCCGTAATAGTACAAGCATATCTTGCTTCGAAGAATTGTGATGAACAAGTGTTCAATGATATTTGTATCTGTGAATTATTGTGTGGTACATTTCAAGAAACCGAACAACTTATTGGTTTCTTTAACGATATTCTGCATGTGTAGATTGTACTAGAAGTCAATTTGAAATATTACTCCAAGGTCACATATTTCGTCGACTCTAACTAAAATAGTATTTTGCATAGTGTAAATGAAATTGTGTCTATTTTTGTTCCGAGAGAACGAAATTACTTAACATTTAGATAGATTGAATGATAATTTATTTTTCAATGACCAATTCGCTATCAGATCTAGATCATTTTCCAGTTATATAAGCATTGAGGTCTTGAACTTTTCTATACATCTTGAAATCATCAGCATATAGCAAACAGTTCGATGAAATCTCTTCTGGAAGGTCATTGATGAAAACTGAGGAAAGTAATGGTACCAGATTTGACCCTTGTGTGGTACACCTGAGTTATGAGGAGAATGGTGGAAGTAATAGGCCAATATTTCGAATACAGTCATCTCACCCATCTACAGGGTGTGAATATCAAAATTTCCCACCCTTCATTTCTCTCTTCTAGTTTCTATTTTGCAATTGGGACACTTTGAATTCATATTTTTAGCCCTCAAGGCTCAACCCTCTAGAAGATAGATGTAATTTTGAAGAAATATACTTAATCTTTGGTGATCACAATAAACCACATGAAATGTATTGAGAGTTACCCTACCTTTACTGATAAGGAGTCCGTCTCCTAACCATGGCTCGAAAAGACCGTACTCTGGTGATTTCTCCAAATGGACATTGCTTCCTAGGATAACCTGTCAAAAATATTATGAATTGATATAGTTAGATGATGGACGGGCGCTATAGAAATAATTCAGATTCATAGAGTATTCTGTTTGGCTCAACTGACATGAAATTACATTAACATAAACAGTACAAAAACAATCTGACGAAGTGAATATAACTGATAGTCATTCTTTTAGAATTGTCACTATAATATTTTTGTATCTTTCCGCTCAACATAGTTCTTGAATTAATTGAGTATCATTTGATTTACAGTTCCAATTAGGATTTGTAATCTCAATTATAATAGTTTATAGAATAGTTCTGCAATTCCAATAAATTGAATGAAAACTGTTTTTTAGGTTTAATTTCCTCGATGGAATAGGGAATAGGAATACACATCCAGAGTGAATCAAAATACATAAACAAAAAACAATCTCGTTGTGAGAAAAAAGCAATATTTTCAGGTTACTTCTGGAAATCAAATTGAGCTATTGAGATTTCAACCATAACAACATTATTCATTCACCTATTCCTCATAAGTTCAGGGTGTTCAGAATTTGTGTAACAAAAATTAACGGAATCTATAGTTTCATAAATAATAATCCACAATGAAGCAATCGTTCTATTCCACAAATCATTCATTATGTTCGAAGGATTATTCGAAACTCTTGGTATGTGATTCACTTTTTAAATGAATTCCCAACCAGGATTATAGAAATCGCACTCGATCAAATGAAAGAATGCAATGAAAAATAAGAAACTGTGTTTCTAGCACAAATTGAGGGCTTTGAAAATTGAAAAACATTTGAAAGTAAATCGAGCAAAAAAGTTGATGAAACAGCCAGTATATTCCTCATGAAAATCCCGTTTCAGAAAAATATAAGTTGAATTGATAATTCTAAGAAGATGATTTGAAATATTTTTGCCTTCCCGAAATATCTGTGACAAGTTTTCCTCTCATTGATTAGAAAATCTTGCATGTTGCACAAATTGTGATTTGTCTGACGTCCCTTTACATGAATTATGAAATTATTGTTGATAACAAAAACGTGTTTTCTGAAGACGACTTGATTTGAAACCAGTATATTCCAATAATTCCTCAATCATTTCAATCATAATAACCTACCTCAGCATCTTCTGCACTTGTAATAGCAATCACAAGTTTTGGTCCCAAATATGCCTTGATAACATCACTTTTCATTTCCTCGTATATTCTACATGCTAATTTGAAGACATCTGCAATCAAACACACCTTATATCAGGTTTCAAAGTAAATTCTTGGTTTCAATAACACTGTATTTTTTTATAATGTGTATAACGCTGCAACGAATGGAAGTATACTGCCTACTGATCATAATCAAATTGATAAAGGAAACTAAACGTGATCTTATATCCTAATCTTACCTGATGGAGATTGTCCTAATGCCATATAGGCGTTACCCAGAATTGGTATTGTCCTAGGACCAGGAATATTCTTTGTTAGTCGGACATACCGAAGGCTTTGGAACCAGTAGTGGTATAATACAAGTACTACTGTTACTCCTAGAATTGAAGTAACTAGAGAACTCGTTAAGGTGGAACCCTCAACACCAAGTGGTTGCTGAAAAGCAATGTCCGATTCATTACACGATCACAAACTTGAATGTGCATATTTGGTTCTTGATATTCAGAATATAATAACTCATGATATATAAGTCTCATATGAGAATATATTTATGAATAAAGTCATCAAAACGACTATCTTCTTCTCTTCAAATAACGTGAAAATTAATTCACAAATGTTCCTCTTGGAATGTTCAATGATCTCTTATGATTCAACTGACATAATCAGAATCCGGTCTTGACAAATTATATTAGTTCAGAGCTTATATCAAATAGTTCACTCTATATGTATGGCTTCAGTAGATTGTTCTATTTTTGTTGACAATTGTTCCAGAAGAAACAAGATTTCATAAATGAGGAGAGTATTTCAAACTAAATATACGAACAGATTCAGAAAACATTCCTCAAAATCATCATCATCATCTACATCATCATCATCTTCTTCTTCATTATCATCGTCAGAAACTGAGTCATGGATACTAGTTAACTAGTTTCCTTTGATCAATTACTGTTATTGAAATTGAAGGTCGATATAGAAGTTCTTATAAATGAAATCTTATGTAAATAATTTACGTAAAACTGGGGTCAGAAGCTCCGATTGTTTTATTTGATCCTAAGTTTATTATTGTATACGTGAGTTATAATTGAATAGGTATATAAAGTATTCAAGAACAATTGAGGTTTCGCGAAAACAGTATGCATATCGATCCAATTATATTCATATGACTTTGATTTTGATTATTCAATGAATTAGACAGTTTTCAAAATGCGTGAAAAGGTTGGACTTACATGTATCTTGATCCAACAGATCTTTTTTTTTTCACCGACATATTGGAATTTGATGATCATAAAATTGTCAATATATAGCATGTGATCGGGATAGCTTTATTGGTATACGTTCGATATATAATAATTATACAGTTCTGATTCGTTATAATTTTACTAGAGACTGATGATGAAGGAATAAATAATTTTGAATGCTTTCTCAAAAGTAATGATAGTGTTTTCTTGAACTGCATCCTCACAAATCCTACACAATTTTTAGATTTATAATATATTTCCCTCAGACTTCAAAGAACCACACGTTCATATTGAATAAAGGAATGTGGACTAGCAGCGACCAAAATCTGGATGGCGAAATGGTACCTTTACTGCGATAATAACCAGGAATGTAGTTGTAGCTGCTATATACCTAAAGCTCGATATCAATTACTGCTTTAGCATGAATTAAAGAATATAGTGAGACCATCATAATAAATTCATATCTGGAAATATTTTTTCGATGAATATGCCTCAAGATGATGTCTATCTCAAACTTCTTGTAGAAATAATTAGATACCTAGAAAATGTCTCCAGCAAACGCGAATTATTGATCTATTTTTGAAATCAACAAAAATTGTTGGTTTTCTTATATTCTTATCTCTAGAGGTGGATTTATAAAAAAAATTTAAGTTGTAGGTATTCTTGTCATGTAAAATATCCTCATTTCTTGTCCTATTATTTGTGAAGGAGATACTATCAACTTGCGAATGTAGTGATGAATGAATCCATATATATTTATTTGCTTCATCTTCATCGATAATGAGAAAATAATCAAAATTGTCCGATAGATTAGAATAAGTCGATTCATTGAAATGAATAAATCTTTGATTTGTTATAGTTTATGGTGCAAAATGTTCAAAATGACAAAATGAATAAAGATTGTACTCACCACTTGAGGTTGTGACATCGTTCTGTATCCAACAGTTTCACACTGCTTCAACAAAACTGAGCATCGCATTTACTGAACCGGCGCACTTATAATGAAAACAACGTGGAACAATATATCTCATTACAATAAATTAATACTAATTTTTTGATGACAATAAATATTGAACATCTTGGCGCATAGAATTCATAAATGCAAATAATACGGTAAATTTTAATAACATGGATCCGTTTTTTGCATTTAAAAAAATAACATGTGACGGTCGAATCGCATCATGCATGGCGCGGAATAACCGCTAGGTGTTTGAGTATTTTTTTCATCCCTTGGAGCGCACGAAAGGGAATTCCTATTGTGTTCGTGGAGCATCGTGCGTATCTAGGAGCATAGGGAGAGGAGGTAGGTGTTGAGATCATTTTTGAACTTCTGGTGGTTACGCTAAAAAAAAAAGATGGTAGTTATTACCAAACGTTTAATAAAATAGGCGACAGTCACAACTTTCATCAAATGATACCACTACAATATTATCAAATTTTACCACTACAAAATAGTATAATACTCATAGTTTAGTATAGTACAACTTTGTAGTGGTATCATTTGATGAATGTAGTGACTGGCGCCTATTCTACTAAACGTTTGGTATTCACTACCAACTATTTCTCTTAGTGTAGAAGTTCTTGAGAATACATCTATTGTTTTGTTTTTATGTTCTGGTTCCCACGAAAAGGGATATCCTGTAATGTTCAGAGAACATCGTGAGAACCAAGGGAAATAAGGTAGGAATTGGTGTTCTTCTAAAATTTCTGGAGGTTATATGCCTCGGGGAACACCTCCCTTGGCTATGTGCTCCAGAGCCTCACTGTTCGTTGGATGAACGAGTCTTTGGAAAGAGATGTTCTGCAGGTCTCCAAAGTCACCACGAAGGGCTTGCGAAGACTCAACTCGACGGGTTAATCTCGCGGGGACTGCCAAGGGAGAAACAATTGTTGATATTTCAGGAGAGCATCGTTATGGAAATATCTTTAAAATAGAGCCATATCGCTAACTTTTCTACGGTGTTCCAGAGAAGTGAGTGAGTTTGTGGGCGAGGCATCACCCACGAGACGAATTGCCCTTTTTTGGACAGAATCCAACAGTTTCATGATATGTTTGGGGGCTGCACTCCAAATATGGAAACAGTATTCCAGGACAGGTCGGATCTGTGCCTTATAAGATCATAAGCAGCTGACTGGAAGTAAAATAGCTTCTGGCCCGAAACAGAAAGCCAAGTTTTTGGGATGCACTTTTAGCAATTGATCTCACGTGATTTTTTCAAAAAAGGTTATTGCTGATAGTGATACCAAGCATCGAAATGGATGAGATAGGCTTCTCTTGAGAAAAGGCATGCTTGTGTTTTGTTTGCATCGAAGTTATTGGATCCCCATTCGAGAATTGTTGCCGAGTCCATATTTATGTTGTCAACATTTCTCCCTCGCTTGTTTCTGATCTGCATGGCTGGTATTGGAGCCCTGGAAGAAAAGGCGATATGGTGAAAAATTACAAAGCTTCGCTGTTCTATAGACGAAGGAGTTTTGGTAGAGTGTTGTTCGACATTTTTCATGGTAAACGACGAAAGGATGTGCTGACTGGGCCTGTCGACTTCGTCTGACAGATATTGCTGGTGATGAAATTATAGCAGAGATTCATGAGGAACATTTTCCGTGGAAGTATCTATGGAAAAGTCGCCGACTTTTCTACAGTGTTCTGATAGGGTCAACACCCACTAGGCGAATGGCTCTTCTCTGGATGGAATCTAAGAGCATCAGCGGATGTTTGGGTGCTGAACCCCATACATGGAAACAGTATTCTGGAACTGGCCGTATCTTTGCTTTGAAGACCATTAGAAGCTGTTGAGGTGTGAAGTAGATTTTTGCATGGAACAAGTAGCCGAGTTTCTGTGGAGCAGGTGCTGATCACAAACGCATGATACATTTTTTATTTCATCAATAACTACAATCTGTCAATTGAGCTGATCACAAGATGTATCTGGCAATGATGCTGTGGATGCTTCAAGCATGCCCTGATGATCCACTATAATAGGTATATATTACCTCTATAGCAACTCAACAGAACGTCTGAACTGATTTGCGAAGGAATATACTTCATTTTGCTTGATTACTAGGAAATTTCTCTTCTGGTTTCTATGAAATAAAAATATGAGTATTATTTCAAAATTCGTCTAGTAGGACAAATCAGATGATTTGTCCCAGAATGTCGAGCAAAGGAAAATCCAATCGTTGGTCAGTGACACTTTGTTTTGAAAAATGTTCTTAGAAGAGAAATATAGATATAATAATGAGAAAAAATCTTATTTTTACTCATCTTGGGACGTTTCGGAAATAAATCTGTTCCCGTTTTCGAATTGAACATTGTAAAAATTATTCTTTGAAATTATTTGTTTCCTTATAGTAGTGTCACATTCTCAGTGACTGATGTTGGCATATAAATGAGTAATGTTAGCATACAAAATGAGTTACAGGATGTTTTCTTTAATTGATCTGGAATCTTCTATTTTCATGATCAGTTTTCAGTATATCAACTGAACAGGAAGCAATGCTATTGTCTACGTTCAGAAGAATATGCAAACGGATTCCTTGATTTTTCTCTTTTGGTTATCTTCCTTTCCTATGATTTTGATATCTTTCCACTCTGCCATATGTTGTCCAGGATATATTCAGCTAGTCTTGATTTATCGATATGTCTTTTCTTGATATTGTTCTTCTGTTCTTTCGTCTTTACTGAGAGAGGTATCTTTGTTTCAAACACAAGGTATAGTAAAAACACAATTCTTCATTTTTTGGATTTGTTTGAGTTAGAATAGATCGTATCGTATTATCAGTTTTAAACGCAGTTTCCAGTTGAAACTGATCGCCAACACGTTTTAGTTTTCCAGGTATCCCGGGAATAATGTACCTATGGTATTATATTCGCCTTTTCTACGAAAATTTTTCAAAACTAAGTGTCACTAACCAACGATTGGTTTTTTTTTTCAGGCTCCCTGATAGGAAAATTCTTTTTTCTACGCCTATAACACGAAATTGCTCTGGTTTTACTGTGTTCGATACATCGACGAGGTACTTTGTATGTCATCAATTTTAATTCCGTATCTGATATCACAATGACTCCATTGTGTTATTCTTTCAGAACAATCTCATCGCTCATGGAATGTCAAATTCCAGGCGATGACAGCTCTGTCTAATAGATGAGCATTACTTGACAGGAAATCAGATGACTGCAAGACAAATAAATCAGAAATGCCGCTATTGTCTGTTACAGCCGTAGAAAAATTATAGTGTATAACTCGCACGGAATGATAAATTCCCACTCGAATGATCTTCTAAATTTCAGGCAGAGAAATTCATCAAAATCATTGATAATCCTCGATTGAGTAGGATTAAAAATTCTTTCATATCCCATTGCTATGTTATGATATGTTATAATGTATTCAAAGAGCAATTTTTGAAAATCTAGATATATTGATGATGTCGGCAACATCACACAGGAGGTACATGATAAAAATGGTGAAGGAGTCATGCAAGTTCCATTATCATTCATTGTTTTCTGATGTGAAATTTGATATTACTAGAAGATAAACGTATTTATTCAAATTCCACAAACCTTCCCAAATTTAAATTCCAAAAATAAGAATGTTTTTTTTTATTCCTGATGTATCTGTCTAGTTATTATGGGTACCAAGCATTGTTTTCTAATTCTACATATCAATTCCATTCATGGATGATTACCTATATATTATTCAAAAATTTCCACATTGACCCTTAGGGGCACAAAATTATCATTCTTCTCATAACCGTGCATAAATATCCATATCTTGCATCGTCACATTCGCCAATTTTGATACTTCAATACGTCTGTGCATGATCCATTCAAAATTCGTTTAGGCAAATCCGAACAGAAGTTTGAACTCATTGAATACCTAGTGAGTGAGCACATTTACATTTACGTCGATATAACTGTTTTTGCAACTGACACAAAAGTCGTCCATTTTGATACCAAAATTAGCTCTTGAATTGGCGTTTCTATTACTGACACAAAAATAGGTGTATTGCTAAGCAACATATTCAGTTTCTAGGTGCTGAAGTTGAACTTTAGTTCCTAGGAGCTAAAGTTGAACGTTAGCTCCTAGGAACTAAAAAGTATGTACTAGACGTCGTCAAGAATAAACAACATTGTTACGGTTGGTTATTTGGGTTGGGACGCATATAGCTGATTTGTTTCCGATTTCAGCAGATTTGGCATTTCATACCCATGCTGGAGATATAAAAACACATCGTATTATAGTTGAGTATAGGAATTATGAACATCTCAGCTAAGTATTTTTTTCTGCAACCGACACAAAAGTCGTGTATTTTGATACCAAAATTGGCTCTCAAATTGACGTTTCTATTACTGACACAAAAATAGGTACGTTGCTAGGCAACATATTTAGTTCCTAGGAGCTAAAGTTTAATTTTAGTTCCTAGGAGCTAAAGTTGAACTGTAGCTCCTAGGAACTAAAAAGGATGTACTGGAAGTCATCAAGAATAAACAACATTGTGTCGGTTGGTTATTTGGGTTGAGACGCATACCTGATTTGTTTCCGATTTCAGCGGATTTGGCATTTCATACCCATGCTGGAGATATGAATACACCTTATTATAGTTTAGTATTGGAATTATAAACATATCAGTTGAGTATTTTTGTTTTGATCAGGGAAGCCTTCAAGATTCAAATACTTGCTTGATCTGTATTTCATTCGTTATTCTCGGGATGGATAGCTTGTTTTTGAATAATCACGACAAGCAATAGTTTTTCTTGTCTCAAGCAACGATTTTGTTTAGCTTCATTTGATTATCAAGTCAAACACAGTGTAGTATGGAGAGGAATAAATAATCACTATTATCATTGTTGATATGCCCACTAACCTAACATTTTCCACGTCTTGTTCCTATAGCTGGCTGGCGCGGTATTTGCCATTAGAGCACCTG